CTCTAAGCATAAGGAATTCAGGCTGAAAAAGTGGCTCAGAGTGCTGGGCGGCAAAGCTTCTTCAGTCTGATGGCTTGTCGTCTTCATCTCACAGAGTTCGCACCGTGGACCAAGGTGGAAGCACCAGTGTTGCAGAGTGTGGAGTAAGAAAGGGAAAGGAATTAGAAAGGGACTGTATGGAGTCTTTTTCTGTAATGCCACTGTGGAAGCTCTGTGTTTTAAAAACTGCTTACATCTTTAGTCTCCATTTGGGTCGCTTACTCATAGTTTGAACTCATAGATTGAATTCTGCAATCAATTGCTTTGTGCTCTAGCTTTCTGGAGTTCTTATGAGAAGACTCTAATATGATAAAGAAGGAAGTGTGGGAAAATCTCGCTGAGTTGCTGTGCTGATCAGGATTTCAAGAATATTCATGAGAATCTTAATGGCTCATTCAACATCTCCAATTGAGTTCCAATTTGGAGGTGACCCTGTAGGAAAACTAGGTCACAGATGAAAATTACACTTGGACTTTGCTCTTGAGAACCTTATAAAACCTGAGCTGAGTAATTTCTGATTTCCTAACAATAAAAACTGTGTAATGTGGATTATACCCCACTAACTCTCTTTCAGTAATAAAATATTTTACTATATATCTCTCTGTGAGCAGAGAGGATAGTATGAGTCATTTTGACATTGGATGCTAAGTGCATTCAATTATGAATCAGTTGGCCTTGACTAGTGAGATAGTAGCTTATCTGAATAAGGATTTTGAATTTACCAGGACAATTGTAAAGAGTTAAAGGACTGCTGACTGTTTGGAGTTATGGCTACTTTTTTTGTGTATTGTTCTTGCTTTTATTTTTTCATTTTAAAAACCATACTTTGGTATTAAATCTATAATAAAAAGGGAGTAACTCCTTTAGTCCACAAAATTTAAAAGTCCATTTATTTTATACCTGGTTGAATCTAAGAACTTTAGTAGCTTAAAGAAAATTTAAACACAAAGTATTCATTGTATTACACGCTTTACATCACAGCAAGGAGGTAGTGCTGGCCTCAAATAATTCAGAACTTAACTTCTTCCACAGAAGAGCATTGTTTTTCTCTGAAATACTGTTTGAAAGCCATGTAACTGTAGTAAACCCACAGCTCTTATGGGACAATGCTCCTTCTGTTGGCCTATTGGCATACCAATCCTGGAATTTTGTTTTGTGTGACCAAGTCAAGAATCTGAAAGCTATCCTGAAACTGGATGCTGTCCTGCAGCTGCAAGCTGTCCTGCAGCTTTGCTCCTGAGTCAGCAGGAGGAACTGTTTTCATATCAATAGAGTAATGAGTCAATGAGTCAGCAAAACCACAAACAGAATAGTCATTTCTTAACAATTGTATATGGATCAGAGTATTTTATCCCTTTAACAATTTTATGAGATAATATCACCATATTGTATATGAATATATATTCAGACTAAGTAATAAGCTATTTCTCTCTGGTTGTTTTGTGGCCTCTCTCTCTCTCTCTCTCTCTCTCTCTCTCTCTCTCTCTCTCTCTCTCCCCCTCTGTCTCTCTCTCCCTCCCCTTCCAAAAAAAAGTCTATTGCTTAGCAAGGTAGGGAAATTTAATTGTGAATTAATCAGAGGTTATTAAATTTCCTAACTAGGAGAGTGTTAGTGCTGAAACTACTTGAGAAAGATTGATCTGTGGTGATGTATTTTCTGTATTAGGAGGGAATGCTTAGCATGGAGTCTCAGCAGCAGAGATGTGAAGTCTTAAGAGGTAACATTGCTGGCAGTACAGAGGTAAGCATAGTTGTGAGAGCTTACCTCACTGCAAAATAATGCAAACACTGGAATGTAGACTCCCTGAGAACACAGAATTTGTCTGTCTTTTCGTCGTTTTTATATTTCTTGGGCATAGAATTATGCTTGGTACATACAGGCCTCAGCAGGTATTAGTTGAATAAATTAAACATAAAACCAAATAAATGCAATGAAGTGCAATAAATGCTAGACAAAGGCAGAAAACATTCTTGCTAGAAGAGGCAACAGTTACATTGTATCTGGTGGACTAAGCATTGTATCTGGTAGACTTAGTGTTTCAGGAAGACACTGGGTAAAGAAAACGCAACAGAGAGAAAGTCCAGGCTTTCAGGCATGAAACAGCATGATGTGGGGATTTCAACAGCACTCTGACATTTCTAAATATTCCTGGACCAGGAAGAAAGGAGTAGAAACTGATGCTGAACTTGAAGAGCCTAGACATCAGGATTAGGTACTTTGACTTGTTGCAAGTTTGAGAATAAGGGAGTAGCTTAAGTTTTTTTTCCTGTGGAAATAGTTCTAATAGAAATGAATACAAAATTTATGAAGAGCTCTTCTATGTTGACAGTAAAATATTGGAGGCCAGAGTCAAATTAGTAGCTGTTGCAATAATTTAGGAAAGAGGTGATGAAGGCCTGGATTAAGGAAGTGATGACAGTGATAGATCATGGCAAAGTTTTGGGAAAAAAAATGTAAGAATCAGAAAAGATGCAAAACAAAGAAATGTGCAAGAGGATGAAATGGTCAGTGTAGTCAAGAAGGAATCTCTGGGTGCCAGTTAGTCCAGGTGCAGCATGCTGAGAAATAGAAGATGACTGCAGGAAGACGGGGAGGGGGAGGAGTAGAGGGAGGAGAGGGAGGAGGAAGAGGAAGGGTAAAAAACATTGCATTTTTGGATACATTGACTTCCAAGTATCAGAGAGACAAGTGGATGGGTTAGCTGGTTAGTTGGAAAGTGATCTTGTCCGGAGTTGTGGTTTGGAGAGTTATCTAGGTTAATGCTGAGACTTGGAGATGGATAGTATTGCAGAAGAGAGTGTGTTGAAAAGACAGAACAGTCGGTAGTATCCACATTTAACAGTCAAGTCAGGAAAGACACAGCAACAAAAGGATCTGATACTGAATGGTCAGGATGTCACAGCTACACCAGAAAGGTTTCACATTGACTTAGCTCTGATTCACTAAGAATCAGGAAAGGATCTAGGAAGGGACATTTCGGTGACAAATGCTCAAAACTATACATTAAATTTAAGAGTAAAGTATAAAATTTTTTGCGTGCTAGTTCAACAAAGTGGCCCTACTAGCTGGTAAATCTTAGTGGTCTCAGAACAAATATGTCACCAGTATATAACCAATGTGACAACCATTGCATTAATCCTTTGAACATTCAATTTTATAGAGACAAAAAAGAGTGGCAGCTAAAGAGAAAGTCAGATTAGAGACAATGTTATTCTTATGCTTGTGTGTGTGTGTGTGTGTGTGTGTGTGTGTGTGTGTGAAGATCTATTTTATTTTTAATTATGTCTGTGTGTGTGTCTTTGCTAATGGAAACCAGAAAAGGAAGTTATATCCCGTGGAGCTGGAGTTGAAGGTGGTTGTGAGCCACCCAACATGAGTGCTGAGAAGCCAACTCCAGTCCTTCACAAGAGCATCAAGAATACGTAACCACTGAGCCATCTCCCCAACCCCTGTTTTGTTTATTGATTCTTTATCTGTTTATCTAGTTTTAAAAGGTAGAAGTAATCTGTATCTGGCATTTAAATTCTTATTGCCTTCTTCACTGATATCCCCTGAGTTCAAAGTCTTATGTTCATGTGAATGCTTGATATATCTTGATACATCTTTAAATGATTTCTGCCATTTCTTTATATTTTATTTATTATTTTTATTTTATGTGTATGCATGTATTACCTGTGTGTAGATAAGTGCACCCATGTTGTGCAATGCTCTCAGAAGACAGAAGAGGCTGTCAGATCCCCTGGAATTGGAGTTATGGACAGTTGTTAGCTGCCATGTGGGTCTTCTGCAAGAACAACCAGTGTTCTTAACCACTGAGCCATCTCTCCAACCCAATTTCTGCCATTTCAAGTTCACCATTCTACCTTCAATACTTCCTCTTGTATTTTATATCACCTTCTGATAAACCAAACTAGAACTTTATAACTCACCCTTCACCAGCTGTTTCAAATCATTGGCCACTTCCTGTCTAGCTTGAGAACACATACACATCCTCCTTTCCATTTCCTAGTATGGACCTGATTTCCCCTTAACTAGACTCTATCTTCCACCTTGTATCAGAGTTATCTTTCATGAGAAGAATTTTGTGCCACCTATTACCCAGCTAGACACTGCGATGGCCACCCACTACCAACAAGGTAAGGACTGAGCTCCTTAGTAAGGAGCTCCAGCCTATGGCATTCCTTCATGATCTAATCCCATGTGCCAGAGAGGATTCCTATGTGGTAACAAAGGATAACTATAATTCCTGAGCATGTCTTCTTGATACCTTTACCCTGCTGTTCCTGCTTTCCCTCTTTATCTAGAACAACCCTCTGTACTTATTTTGAGTAGCTAACTCCAGTTCATATTTTAAGGCCTCATATAAACACATCCCTTATTTGGCCCCATCCTAACCCCTTCATCCTGCTGGGTGAGTAACTACAGTGTCTCTGTATTGTCATAGTTACCTATGTAAATTATAAATACAGAATCGTCACCCTGACTGACGATGTCTATATGTGGTTGTCTCCCCTTGGAAGGTGAGCTCCATGAGACTGAGAATGAACCTTTGTTCCTTCTTTTACCTTTGTATTTAATATCTCACCTGACATATAATAATTGCTCAAATACTTATTCAGCTGCACTGAGCAGTAGAAGGGGGGCGGGGTTTAAAGATGCTCGAGAAGGAGGTAGGACCCTTACAAAGAGGTCAGAGTGGTGGAGGACAGAGTAAGGTGGATAAGCTATGCACTGACTTTGAATAGAAGGGCTACCTTAACCATGTGCTCAAGAGGAAAGATGGTCAATGTAAAGGGAGATGAAAGTGATAGAAAATGAAGGGAGTTTCAGATGGAAAGCTCTGTTTTCTTTATTAACAGGTGGTTGGCCAGGGTGCATAGCCAAGCAAATTTGGTGAAGATGATGGCTGTGAAGAAGTACACAGAACCTATTGCTGGAAAAATAAATTCATATTTTGGAACAAAGACTTAGAAATATCTTATTGAGGAATATGACCTCTCTTAATGACTCATTCATATACTTGAACTTCTTTTCCCATGGAAAGTTTTAGACACATTTGTAGTATTTCCTCTGCCTATGCCTGCAAATGCTTGTACCTGAAGATGGCTGCCTTTCAGCCAGGATGTGGCCTTATCACCAGGTCTGAGATTGGTTGTGGTAAGGTCACAGTTATTAGAGTCCAGGGAAACATGACTTATGGCCAGGCTGTCTGCACTATGAGATGAGTAACTGTAGACCATCTCCAGGAAGGCTGATTTTGTATTAGTCTTTTGCTTGCAAAGAATAACGTAGCACTTGGGGAAGAATGTGCAGCACAAGATCCCGTAATTGGATATTAAAATGACTATAATCTCCACAGCGGGCAAATACTTGCCAAATGTGGTAGCATAGACAGGGATGAATGTGATCCAAGCTATGAAGTAAATAAGCATGCCAAATGTTATGAATTTGGCTTCATTATAATTCTCAGGCAATTTCCTCCCTTTGAAGGCAAATATAAAGCAAATGAAGGCCAGGATAGCGATGTAGCCCAGCATGGTGCTAAATGCGAGGATTGATCCCTCCTCACATTCCAGGATAATGACTCTAGGCAAGGAGATGTTCTCCTCCACAGCAGGTGCTGCCAAGATGAGCCAGAGTGTGCAGATGACAACCTGGATGCCCGTGCACGTGAACACGATGGGGACTGGCTTATAGAGGTTCTTCAGGAAGGTCTTCAACTTGGGATCAAAGCTGAAAGCTAGCAAAATTTTCAGAGACTTCATCAAAATGCAGGAGACACAGAGGGTAAAGCTCATGCCAAATAGAGTCTGCCTGGTCTTACATGTGAAGTCTTGAGGTTCCCCAATGAAAAAGCCCGTGCTGGCAAAGTTAAGGGCATGACAGAGAAGCATCACGTAGCAGACCATTAATCCCCCAGATGATTTCACAACGGGTGTGTTCAGGTTTCTTGTAAATATTATGCCAATGGCCAAAACAAAGGTGATTCCTAGTAAGGAGAGGGAGATGAGGAGGAGAGCCAAGGAGTCATTCCAGTTGAGATACTCCACTTCCTTTTCAAAGCACATTGTGCTCCTTACAGGGGCCCAGTGGGTTTCGTTGTTGCATAAAAGGCAATGATCCATATCTAAAAGAGAAAGGAGATTGGGTTACATCACAAACATTTCACAAGATGATTATCTACAACACTGTATAAATGAGTAATCTTCACCATACTAGTCCTAAGTAGAAAACAGGCACAGGTAAGGTCAAACCGGCTAGTTATTCAAATAAACACCTACAAGGAGCTTAAAGAAAGTCAGAGATGAAGGTAAATAAGAGTTGGGGAAGATAGGAAAAGATAAAAGACAAAAGACAAAAAGCCAGAGTGGATCATGGGTCTTCAGGGACTCTATCTACTTCAAAGAGATACTAGTGTCTTATGAACTTGCTATTACACAGGGAAGTTCAGGGACTTTTTAAAGAACATAGCTTTGGAATTAGACAGCACGTAAGTCCATTTCTTTCCTCTACGTCTATGATTCCTGTAATCTTGACCAAGATAAAGTAAACTTTGTGAGACTATTTCCAAATTTCTTATTGGAGTGTCACACTTGGAGCACTGCATAGACTGGATGTTCAATATGAATAAGGGTGTGGTTCCTTTAAAAGCAGAGGCCCTATGACTAAGTTAGCCTAAGCTTAAAACCTCTTTCTGAGCTGGGCATGGTGGCACACGCCTTTAATCCCAGCACTTGGGAGGCAGAGGCAGATGGATCTCTGTCAGTTCGAGGCCAGCCTGGTCTACATAGTGAGTTCCAGGCCAGCTGGGGCTACAGGGAGACCCTGTCTCAAAAAAAAAAAAAAAAAAAAACACAATAAAAAAAAAAAAAAAAAAAAAAAAAAACCCAACAACAACAAAAAACAAAACTCTTTCTGAATGTGAGAGAGCACAGAATGTAATCATGATGGCTGAAGAATTAAAGCTTGTTTTCTGCCAGGGATCTTAATAAACTTGGTCCTCTTAAACCGTCAGTGAGGAGCTTGAAATGGTGTTTATGCTGACTGACTGCAGGGCAGCATGAATTACTGATAATGCAGTAGAGTCTCCGGGAGTGGGAACGATGGGACCCAACACCTCCAAAGATCCCAGAGCATTCATCCAATTATACTCCACAAAAGTTCAAGGTGCTACAGATTCAGTGCAGTCTCAATCAAAATCTCCATGGCATTTTTCACAAAAATAGAAAAAAATCCCCTACAATTCATATGGAGCCACAAAAGATCCCAGAGAGCCAAAGTAATCCTGTGCAAAAAGAGCAATGCTGGAAAGAGCACCATATCAAATTTCAATCTATATTACAGAGCCAAAGTAATAAAACTTCATGGTGTCGGTACAAAAATAAACATATAGATCAACAGAATAAAATGGAAGTGCACGCAATTACAACCCCCTAGTATGTGACAAAAATGTCAAAAATACACACTAAAGGAAAGACAGCATCTTCAGCAAATGGTGCTGGGAAAACTGGATCTCTATGTGTAGAATGAATTCAGACCCAAATCTCTCACTCTGTGCAGAAATCAACTCCAAATGGATCAAAAAACCCAAAGTGAAACCTGAAATACGGAAACTGTTAGAAGAAAACAAAGGCAGTACCGTACAAGATACAGGTACAAGAAAGGACTTTCTAAATTGGATTGCATTCACTCAGGAATTAAGGGCAATTGACAAATGGGACTTCATTAAACCAAAAGGTTTCTGTAAAGAAAAGGAAACAATCAAATGAAGAGGAAGCCCACAGAGTGAATCTTTACCAGCTACACATCTGACAGGATTAATTTCTAGAATATACAAATAACTCAAAAAACAAAGAATCAAGAAACATATGACCCAATTAAAACATGGGCTACAGATCTGAACAAGGGTTCTTAAACAAAGAAATAAGAATGGCTAAGAAATACCTTTAAAATGTGTTCAACATCTTTAGTGATTAGGGAAATGCAAAATAAAACCACTTTAAGATTTCATCTTAACCCAGTTAGAATGGCTAAGATCAAGAGAACAAAGGATAACAAATGTTGGAGAGGATGAGGGGAAAGAGGATCCCTTGTTCACTGCTGGTGAGATTGCAAAGTGGTACAGCCACTATGGAAATCAGCATGGAAAACTCTTTAAAAACTAAAAAGAAATTTATCATATGATTCAGATATACCACTCCTTCACATATACCCAAAGGACTCAATATCCTACTACAGAGATACTTGTACATCCATGTTTGTCGCTGCTCTTTTCACAATAGTTAAGAAATGGAAACAACCTAAACTGATGAATGAAAATGTGGTGCATTCACACAATGGAGTTCTACTCAGTGGTAAAGTTAAAAAAAAAATCATGAAATTTGAAGGTAAGTGGCTGGAACTAGAATCTGCTATACTAAGCAACACATACTCAGAAAAACAAGCGACATATATTCTCTTGCATTTGTGAATCTTATCTCCAAATCCCTAAATGTGAGTATATATCCTGAGGTAACCACAGGAGCCAGGAAATGGAAATGAACCATGGAGATAAAGGGGAAGAAGGCACTTGAGAGGGAGGGATAGGAGATAGGCATTATCCAGGAGGAAATGGGAAAAAATAGGGTACTTTAACTGGGGAGGAAGAAGGGAGGGCTACACATGGGGGAAGGAGAGGAAAGAGAGATAAATAATGCTTATGTGGTGTGCTGGATAGCTTTAGTGTCAACTTGACACACCTGGGTTGAGGGAGCCTCAATTGGGGAATTGCCTCCATTGGACTGGCCTGTGGCCATGTCTGTGGGGCATTTTCTTGATTGTTGAATGATGTGGGAGGGCCCAGCCCACTGTGGGTAGTGCCACCCCTGGGCA